CTATTAGACTTCGTCATGGTGCTTGAAATGATCAGAATATGTCAGTTTCCGATTCAATATGCTGTTTACTGGCCCATCTTCCTTGATATTCAAATCTTTTAGGATTTTTTCTCGCGGGTTCCGTTGCCCCGATCTACTGCCTGCCTAAAAAGTGTGTCGTAAGAATCAACTGGGGGATGGGGTGGGGGGGGGGGGCTATATTGATATCGGAGCGCATCTGCCGGAGAGGCAAGGAACCAAAAGTCTGCGTATAGATAATCGAAATCTTTAAAATGGTTGTGAATGCAAATTGTTTCTGGGACAAGACTAAAGTTTAGAAACTGACGAACACCCAGAACTTTCCACCTGAGTTTACAACTAGTGTACGCGATGAAGAAGGAGGAGAAGAAGAAGATGAAGAAGAAGATGAAGAAGAAGATGAAGAAGAAGATGAAGAAGAAGAAGAAGAAGGAGAAGGTGAAGAAAAAGAAGAAGGAGGAGAATGTGAAGAAAAAGAAGAAGAAGAAGAAGGTGAAGAAAAAGAAGAAGGTGAAGAAGAAGAAGAAGATGAAGAAGAAGAAGAAGAAGAAGAAGAAGAAGAAGAAGAAGAAGAAGAAGAAGAAGAAGAAAGAAGAAAAGAAGGTAAATGTGATAGGGTCGACTTTATTACAGTGGGTTTTATCCCATGTAGCCCAGTCTCTCTCTCTCTCTCTCTCTCTCTCTCTCTCTCTCTCTCTCTCTCTCTCTCTCTCTCTCTCTCTCTGCAGAACCGCTAGCTGCCTGCCGAAAGCGTCACACAAAGCACGACCTCCGTAGTCCCGGCGACGATCCACTGGGATCTTTGTAAATATTGCACTCGTGAAATGGACCCACGACCTTCAGAACGCGAGGCGAACGGCTGGACCATTTTGTCACGGAGACCCCCAAAGAAGAAGAACAAGAAGAAGAAGAGGTTAAAACTACCCAACTTCAGCCCTTCCAGCCGTCCCATCTTCCCGTTCGCGCTTATTCACGCGTTGCGATGTGATTAACAGTCTCTTATTGTAGCCCTGGAATCTGGATGAGACAAAACACCGAACTCCGTCTGCGAATGCTTCTATTTGTGGCGCCCGTAAACAGATCGATGCAGAGAATTCTCGAAGTTGCTGGAAGAAAGCTCGCGGTCAGATGTACCTAGTTAGTCGGTTCTTGTCGGGACGTTGTCCGCGGGTTTGAGTGCAGCACTGTCCAAGTTTGGGGGTTTGCGTTTAGAAAAACCGTTTGAGTTTTCGTGGAACACTGTCCCGGTTTGGGTGGAACACTGTCCGAGTTTTGGGTGGAACATTGTCCGAGTTTTGGGTGGAACACTGTCCGAGTTTTGGGTGGAACACTGTCCGAGTTTTGGGTGGAACATTGTCCGAGTTTTGGGTGGAACATTGTCCGAGTTTGGGTGGAACATTGTCCGAGTTTGGGTGGAACATTGTCCGAGTTTGGGTGGAACATTGTCCGAGTTTGGGTGGAACATTGTCCGAGTTTGGGTGAAACACTGTCCGAGTTTTGGGTGGAAAACCATCCATTTTTTGGCTGTCTGGGTGTTAGCATGACAGGACCACTTCATTAAGTTGTTTCTTGTTGCTAGAGGTGAGATCGCGTATGGTGAGTGGAGTTGAGTTGAGTCCAGAATTGACAGCACAGCACTCGGAGCATTCCTGTGGGTGCTCCGTCCTCATCTTCAGCAGCCAGCGCAGAGTTCTAATTATGATGGTACCGGTCACAATCTGGTTATATATCCGTCTTGCCTTTCCTCTGAGTGAAGTAAGCCGACCAGACCCTCTGTTTACATCCAGGTGCCTCATTCTCTGCAATCCATAATAATCTTGTGTGGTGAGAAAAGGGTGGTGGGTTGGAAAGGGGGGTAGGCGGGAGGGGAGTTGATCACCTAACGTCATGACATGTCATGTGCTACGAGACATTAGGACCTGACACTTTGTACTTGAATGGCAGTATCTGTTTTATTGGTAGCTTTATCATCAGCACCACTTTCACCGTCACGAAACAGCGGACAGACTGTCCAGAAGTTGCAGTGACATGGTACAATCAAATAGCGACTTAACCCACCAAGAGACGAAGACATTAATATAATCTAGTATCCGAGAAAGGTGGTGTGATACCTACACACAATTCTCTCTTCAAGACTCGCTTCATCGCCTCTCTAGAGAGTGGCAATCTGTTGTATTCTGACTAAGGACGAGGCACAACAGACTTTATCAACATAAGTTCAAACAGTTCGGTGTAGGAAACACGGAGAAGTGACCCTGCAGAGTGGCACCCGAAAATTCTGAGCGTGTGCTCCAACACTGTCAACTGTATGCTGACAACAGAGACGCAATCTGACCTGTTTCACCTACAATGAAGACAAAGCTGTAAGGCACACTAGAAGGACTGCACGAAAGCTTTCATTAAGGCTACCGGCCTCCTGATATGTTTGCTCTGCACAACTTTGGTTGAATACTGATGCATGATAAGGCAGACGTGGTTAGTGTCTTGTTGGAGAGCATGTACAGTTCGGAGGAGCAGATGGATGACCACAGTCTGGTGAGATTGATGCAGGGGGGAGTGACGAGAGGTTCTGGCAGATGCTCGAGGCTCAGAGGAAAGTCAAGACGAACGTTTAATCAGAATGCTACTGGCACCATTAGTGTCGGAACTCTTCGCTGGCTGCTGAAGATGGAGACGGAGCGCTTATGGGAATGCCCCTAGTGCTGTGATGTCGGTTCTTGAATCAAATCAAATCAAATCAAATCTGACAAAAGGTTTGAAGAAGAAGAAGACCACTGCAGTCATTTTAATCATCAACGTCGTCATCATCATCAAGTGCTGGTTCAGTCATGCCTGTCTACATCAGTCGATCTTCAGGGGCATTTATCAGTTTATGTTCTCTCTCTCTTCCATACAGTAACAGAAGGTTATCAAGAATGTTCTATCTTTGTCCACCACCATCCCTCTTTCCATTAATCTTTCCAGTTGTCACAGCATGTTCCAGTTTCCCTTCTCTTAGTGTGGGGCAGGAAATAACAACCGCCTCTTTCTGATGTTTGTTGTAGGTTGTCTTAGTGTGAGAGTCTCTTTCAACACTTATCATCATCATTACCATGTGCCGTGCCAGGCGGTATAGGCGCTCTGCCCCTTCACAGATTTCGGCCCTTTATATTTTGAATCAGTTCCACTGGTGATATCCCACCATGTCATGGCTTCAGCCTGTTGATCATCTCTCTTGGTCTGCCTCTGCCTCTTCTGCTGTCATCACAATCTCCTTCATTGCATCTCTTCTGAACACATGACTTCTTTTTTTCTCTGCGTTCGGTTTCGTATGCTCAGATCAGACCATCAGGTGGGTTGCCTCTATAAACTTGCATGTCAGCTGCAGGTTCTGCATGGTTCCCCAAAGCTTGCTCTTCACACTTTGCTCTTGAGGCCAGGTGTCTTTTCGAAGTTGCAGGTAGAGTGGGCAGGTCTGCAGAATGGGCTAAGGTGATTGTGGTCCTGTTTGACAGGCACACTGTGGGGACTGTATAATCTTTATGTTATGCTTGTGGTAGTTGAGCCTGCAGTGTCCTGTTTGTAGAGAGAAAATTGTTGTATGTTGTTTTCTATTGAGTCTGCTGATGGGGTCTTGTGGATGTTCACTGTTAGTTTGTTCTTTCCGCAATTCCTTGTATTTTCCGTTGATATCACATGTTTGAAGAACACTGACTGCCTCTTTCTGATAGTTGTATATAATTTTCTAATTTCGTTAGCCATTTGCAATCAGTCATTGTTCATTAAAGTCTCCGTATGGGTTCTGGGGTCCCTTTGTAAAGGAGAAAAAAATAATGGACCCACTTTAAAATTGGTAAAAGGGGTTTCCTTTGAAGTCACAGTACATCTGCCTGAGTGGTCAGGGACCAACAGTTTGCATATAAAGAGCCAGATCTGTAAACACAAAACTCAAGCTTAGAAACCAGACTAGAGTCCACAATTCAACGTGTGGTCGTGGTATTCTAAGATTTTCTGTACAGAAAATTTCTTAGAATATAGTGGATCAGGAAGAATAAAAACATATACCTCCTGCGTGTTATGGTTATCGAGGGAAAACTGGCTCATAAACAGCATCTTGTCCCCAAAGGTGAATTGTTTTGCCCATGTTAAACATCAAGGTGGCCGGGAGGGAGCGGTGATGGAGAATACAGTTTCTGAAGAATGACACAGAGAAAGCCCTCTGCAAAGCTGGATAAAAGATATCGTATCGTATAAAATCAAACAAAAATTCCAAGCTTAGTCCTTTTTTAGCCGCCTGATGGCCTGCTTTTTCAAGGACGGTTCCTTTGCTATCTTATTTTATTTATCTTCCTTTGTGGTGAGTAATTACATCTGAGTTTGTTCATTTGTTGCCTAAGTTCTGGTTTTGATGGGTCCTGGTTCCTGTTTTAGTTGGCTATCCGCTAGCTGTTGCACTGTTCATCTGTGTTAGTACCAAGTCAGTCCTCAGCCACACCACTGCGAAACAAACAGGATACAAGATACTAAAATGCATTGGCTATGAAAGCACATAGGGCTGGAGGATCATCTAGAGAAAGAGAGACTTTTAGGTGTGCTGGGATGAGAGTGAAAGTCTCTAAGGGACCCTGCTGATAGATGGTGACTAGTCACCTTGAACTTTGCCGTTTAAGGATTTTTTGTTTCCATAAAACACACAAAAACCCAGATCCCTTCACTTTACCGTAAACATATAAAAAGGCAGATGACACAATGTGGCTCACAGCTAGGCTGTGATATCTGCACCATTCAGCTCAGCACATCCAACTCCAACAAACCTTAGTTAGTAAAGTTTTGCAACATATTTCTTTAGAGGCACAGGTTCTCTCCTCCTCCTCCCCTCCCTTCCTCCATAAAATAGGGTGGCAGAACATTCAGGGTCTTTAAATGAAAGCTCAACAGTGTAACAACACAACTTTATATGTTGTTTCCTGAATGTTGCAGTGATCTTTTTTCTTCTTTTGCAGGTGAGCTACTTTGAGATTTACTGCGAGCGGGTCCGGGATCTACTGAACCCCAGCAATAAGAACAGCCTCAAGGTGAGGGAGCACCCGCTTCTGGGTCCTTACGTGGAGGACCTCTCCAAGCTGGCCGTCCAGTCCTTTGAGGACATTAACAATCTCATTGATGAAGGCAACAAGGCCAGAACTGTGGCGGCAACTAACATGAATGAAACCAGTAGCCGGTCCCATGCCGTGTTTACCATTATTTTAAGCCAGCGCCGGTTTGACCGGGAAACCAAAATGGTTGGAGAGAAGGTAGGGTTTCTTTGTTTCTAATTTTCTCTTTAGGGACAATAAGTTACAGGGAAAATAGAGGGACAAATATATAATTAACTCTTTTACTCAGAGAAGCAGCAGAACTGACACTTCCACATGGGTCCAGTTCCCCTAAATGTCACATTTCTGACTTGTCTATGGTGACCTGTTTACGAGACGCACAGTTAATGCTATTAGCTGTTTTTTATGCCTGCGCAAACGTTTATATGGTCAGGATAAGAATAATTCAATAACTAAATATAGTATAGGTGAGGGTTAGGGTTCTTTTGAACCAAAAGCTTTTTTAAAGCCAAGTTGACTTCAGAGTTTCCCATAGACCTCAATGATAGAGGTTACAGGGTCACAGCATGTTTTTTTTTTTAAGGCCCTGGGGAAGATTCTATTGAATGTTTTACCCTGTTTGTGTCTATTGATTACTTTCTTCATATATTTCTTTATATTTTGATTAAAAAATCAAAAACTTATCGAATTGTTTAACGAGGTTCATAATGGATAAATGTGGCATGAGTGGATACAAGCATCATAGTGTCAACATTACAGGGATGTACATGGATATACTGCCTACGATAGTATGAGGGGGGGGGGGGGGGGGGTTGGGAATAGAGGGAATTTGTCAGCTACAGAAGCTGTAGAAACATTCATACTGACAAAGCAGATATTTGAAGCCATTTATAAACAAATTATGACAGAAGATATGAGGTTAGATGAAATAACGCGTGTATGAATGTGTGAACGAGAAATTAAGTGTGATATGGTTGATGAGGATGATGATGATGATGAGGAGGATGATAATGATGATGAATAACATTGATATCTTCAGGTGAGCAAGATCAGCTTGGTGGATCTTGCTGGGAGTGAGCGAGCCGACTCCACCGGAGCCAAGGGAACTCGTCTCAAGGAGGGAGCTAACATCAACAAGTCCCTGACCACACTGGGCAAGGTCATCTCTGCCCTGGCCGAGATTGTGAGTAGCCATTTTGGTTTATAGTTCAAATGTTAAAGGCCGGTTAGTTCGACGTTAGTCTCCCCAAATAGAGTAAGTCACTTCACAAGTTTGTTTCGCTGGTCGACTTTCCTGAAGGTTATGAGTGTGTCCCCATCTGCTGTTTGGTTTCTGCGATGTCTTGCATTTACGCTTTCATTCCGAGAAAGAAAATGCATGTGACATAGGTTGCAGCACTCTCTAGGGAGGGTTGTGTTAGCCCCAGTTTCTCCATGTTTTTTGGAGTGTTTATGTGCTGGCGTGCTGAAATATACAACACGCTTTATCAATGGCATTGCAGAACACCCGTGTAACCATGTGCCAAGGTCACAGGGCTTAGGAACTACCAATCAGAAGTGAACTAGTGTGTATATGGGCGGGGTCTGGGGAGACTTACGCCGAACTAACCTAAAGGCCGTTGTGTGGAGTATGGTTCTTTAGGGTGGGCATGTGGAGCAATTTTCTATCTGCCTGTTTGTCATCTATCTGTCTGTCTTCTGTATGCGTCTTATCCCCTTTTTTTCTTTGTGCCTGCGATTTATCTGTTGGAGTCTGCCTGCCTGTCTGTCTGTTGTATGTTCTACCTACCTGCCTGCTTGTCTGCCTGCCTGCCCGTGTATCTTTCTCTTCTGTTGTGTATGCCTTTCTGCCTCAGTCTTCCTTGTCTGCATTTCTGTATCTACCTGTCTGTCTGTGCATGTCTTTGTCTGTACCTGCCTGTCTGCCTGTTTTTCTCTTTGTGCCTGCCTTTTATTTGCTTGGCTTCCTTTCTCTGTCTTTGTCTGTCTGTCTGTGCCCGCCTGCATGTGAACCTATGGTATTCTTGACTATATCTGTCTGTCTGTCTGGCATCTCATTACTTGTGCCTTAGCATGATATCTTCCCAATGTTGTCTGCAGGGCTGTGATATGTACTTATGTTATGATCCACCGTGTTTCTACTGTGCACATGTGGTGCAGTGAACAATCTCACACATGTGGTGCAGTGAACAATCACACACATGTGGTGCAGTGAACAATCACACACATGTGGTGCAGTGAACAATCTCACACATGTGGTGCAGTGAACAATCACACACATGTGGTGCAGTGAACAATCTCACACATGTGGTGCAGTGAACAGTCTCACACATGTGGTGCAGTGAACAATCTCACACATGTGGTGTAGTGAACAATCACACACATGTGGTGCAGTGAACAATCACACACATGTGGTGCAGTGAACAATCACACACATGTGGTGCAGTGAACAATCACACACATGTGGTGCAGTGAACAATCTCACACATGTGGTGCAGTGAACAATCACACACATGTGGTGCAGTGAACAATCACACACATGTGGTGCAGTGAACAATCACACACATGTGGTGCAGTGAACAATCACACACATGTGGTGCAGTGAACAATCACATACATGTGGTGCAGTGAACAATCTCACACATGTGGTGCAGTGAACAATCACACACATGTGGTGCAGTGAACAATCACACACATGTGGTGCAGTGAACAATCTCACACCTGTGGTGCAGTGAACAATCACACACATGTGGTGCAGTGAACAATCACACACATGTGGTGCAGTGAACAATCACACACATGTGGTGCAGTGAACAGTCTCACACATGTGGTGCAGTGAACAATCTCACACATGTGGTGCAGTGAACAATCACACACATGTGGTGCAGTGAACAATCTCACACATGTGGTGCAGTGAACAATCTCACACATGTGGTGCAGTGAACAATCACACACATGTGGTGCAGTGAACAATCTCACACATGTGGTGCAGTGAACAATCACACACATGTGGTGCAGTGAACAGTCTCACACATGTGGTGCAGTGAACAGTCTCACACATGTGGTGCAGTGAACAATCACACACATGTGGTGCAGTGAACAATCACACACATGTGGTGCAGTGAACAATCTCACACATGTGGTGCAGTGAACAATCACACACATGTGGTGCAGTGAACAATCTCCATTGGTGGATCAAAATTGTTATAAATATCTGAGTCGACAATTGAATTAATTAATAAAGCATTAGTCATCATCATTATGTAGCGGGTCCTTTGCAGAACGTCGCTCTCATCACAGTCTGCCTGAAAGAAACTCGGTCTCTCGCCAGTTCTCCCACCTCATGCACTTTCACACTCAAGGAGTCACTTATATCCTGTGCCCATCTTCCTCTTTTCTGGTACCAAGCCTTCTGCTATAATTTTTTTCAATCCGTTTTGGCGCTTGATATGACCAAAATATTTCAGCTTTCTAGAAAGGATGCTGTTTATTAGTCAATCTTCCTTGATGTTCAGATCTTTTAAGATGTCAATATTTCTCATCTTCTTTGTCCAAGATATTCTGAGAATCTTTCTATAGCATTTCAGCTCAAAAGCCCCTATTCTCTTTCTTAAGGACTGTGAGATAGTCCACGACTCACATCCGTATGTAGCCACAGGGAAGATGCATGCTCTCAAAATTCTAATTTTTATCTCCTTGCTGGTGCTTAAGCATAGACTTTTAAGTCTGTTCAATCTTTGCATTGCTATGGCCATCCTCCTTTTAATTTCTGTCGAACAGTCTCTATTGTTGTTTATTATAGAGCCTAGATATTCAAAGAAAGCATTAGTGCTATCCTTAAAGTAAACGACCCTTTGCCACGCCTTGAGATGTATTAGGTATATTGTGCTAAACCTGTACTAGGATATAAAGATGTGTGCAAATGGAGCATGAGTAATACAGGTATTGAGATGGACTCATGGGAACAAAATGACATGAACCATGTTGTGTGGAAGGGGTCACCTCAGGAAGGTGATGAAACTAAAGGAAGACATGAATGCATAAAGGACGGGAGCTGAGCGTCTGAGAAGAAAAAGACTGAACACAAATGTTGACAAAAATGGTCATGAAATCCCAGCCATAATTGTGGAAGACTTTTCTTGACATGGGGGGATCTTGCTGGTTACACTCGCCATCGCCATGAGCTGTGATCAGTGTTGCCACTTTTCTTTGACAAAAAACAACCAAAACGGAGTCAAAAATATCTAGAAACATCTAAATTTTGCGTGGAAACATCTGGAAAAAACATCCAAATGGAAAGAGTCACAAATTACATAGCAATTGATATGACTTACCCTAAAGAATCATGCCCTCATCTTCACTGATGTCTGCCTCACAAGATCACAGGATAAACTTAGCTTGGATGATGAAGTTGAAGCTTAAGATCCAAAATGACTCTGGTATGCTATATAGCTGTTCCAAGTTCTTTTAATACCTAATCAGGGATCTGATAAGTGGAACAGCCTTTTCCTACTGTTATCAGGCCAAATTTTATTGTCAAGATAGCATTTCAGAGGTCAAATTTCATCCTGTTTTTTTAGATTAGATTTGATAAATTCACTCCAAATAAAAAACCTCTAGAAAAACATCTACCATCTAAATGTCAAAAACGCCATCTAAATTTCAAGAAAAACATCTGAATCTGGATGTAAAACATCCAAAGTGGCAACACTAGCTGTGAGTCCCATGACTCCTCATAGCAATATAACACTGTGGTCTGGAAAGACGGAAGGGCGCCAGTCAATCTTGTATTTCATAGGTCAGTAAGCACTCAGTGGGTGATGTGACCCAGGACTTTACCTTGTACCCATTTAGTGCTGGGTCAGCCTGGGTGCTGAGGTCATTTAAAAAATGAATTTGAACTCTCAACCTTCGGATATGCAGGCGAGCATCTAGCCGCTAGACCTTGGCACGTATATACCGTAGCAGTTATCTGTTATGTCCTCACAGTGGTAAAACATGTCTTTGTAGTAATGCAGACTATCTTTGCAATTATCACTATCTATGTAGCATTCAGAATCAGTTATATCTTTAATGTATCAGACTATCTTTGCAATTATCACTATCTTTGAGTTACAGACTATCTTTGTTATCAATGAGTGGATCATTTATCAGTTATATTTTTATTATGTATATCAGTTATATTAAGTTATTGTTTTGTATCGGTTATCGCTCAATCATTTATCAGTTATTCTTTTACAAGTATCCGGTTATCTTTATAATTATGGGTTAATCTTTTACAGTTATCTGGGGATTTTTAGAGTTGTCAGTCATACTTTTGTCAGTATCAAGTGTACCTTTAGACTTATCAGTTATACTTTTACAGTTATCAGGTGTATGTTCAGAGTTATCAGTTATACTTTTACAGTTATCAGGTGTTTCTTAAGAGTTATCAGTCATACTTTTACAGTTATCAGGTGTATGTTCAGAGTTATCAGTTATACCTTTACAGTTATCAGCTGTAAATTTACAGTTATCTATACATTTACATTTATCTGCTATACATTTACAGTGATCAGCTATACTTTTACAGTTATCAGCTGTTAATTTACAGTTATCATCTATACATTTACATTTATCTGCTATACATTTACAGTGATCAGCTATACTTTTACAGTTATCAGCTGTTAATTTACAGTTATCATCTATACATTTACATTTATCCGCTATACATTTACAGTGATCAGCTATACTTATACTTTTTCAGTTGTCAGCTGTACATTTACAGTTATTATCTATACATTTACAAGTATCATCTATACATTTACAGTTATCAGCTAGACATTTACAAGTATCAGCTTCACTTGTTCAGTTGTCAGCTATACATTTACAGTTATTAGCGGTACTTTAACAGAAAAGCATATTGCTTTTTTGTTTGTCCTGTCACAAGTATTATATTATAATATTGTCTGTATTGACCTTTGAACTCCCAGAGTGCTGTGGATACCAAAGTAAGACATTATACTATGGATGTTGTCTGCTGAATTTTGTTTTTTACTCTGTAGTTAGCATGACCTTTTTTCCCCCGTGGGGGTGTGCAACAGTACACAGTACTGGCACCCATTTTTCTAGAGAAACAAGCCTTGCTAGTGTGATTTTATTTGTATGTTCATGTTCGATTGATTGCGAGCCTTGCATAACGTGTAACGACATACCAGGACAATGTTGATGATGGTTATGATGAAACCCTAAAATGAATGGGGATGAGAGAGGCCAAAGGTGCCAGAATGGATTTGATCTCTGATATTGGAAGGATTGCACAGAATAGAATGCAGTAGAGTAGACTGTGAGCAGGATGAATTTGGTGGTGGTGGTGATGTTGATGATGATGATGATGTTGATGATGATGTTAGTGGTGGTGGTGATGATGATGTTGGTGATGATGATGTTGGTGATGATGATAATGATGATGGTGGTGATGATGATGATGTTGATGATGATGATGATGATGGTGATGATGATGGTGATGGTGATGATGTTGGTGATGATGATGTTGATGATGATGTTGATGATGATGATGTTGATGATGATGTTGGTGATGATGATGGTGTTGGTAATGATAATGGTGTTGCTGATGATAATGATGATGATGATGATAATGGTGTTGCTGATGATAATGATGATGATAATGGTGTTGGTGATGATACTGATGATGATTAGGATGACGACGACGACGACAACAACCATAAACTAATTTAGAGAACAATGTTAGACACCTCACAGGCTTTCCATTTTGTTAAATAGAAAAGTTTTTAGTTACCCTATTTGTTATTTCTTTGTAGACAGGTTGTTGTAAATCTGTTGTCAATTCTATATATAAACATTTTTGCATGCATAAATGCTTTAATTAATGTCTAGGTATTTCTCCTTCCTTCCTTTTCTTCAATCCTTTCTTCATTCTTTCTTCCTCCTTCCTTATGTTCACCCTGCACCCCATATACCTTCCATTTACTCTTTACCTGCTCTCTCATATATACCTTCCATTCACTTTTTACTTACTCTCTCATATATACCTTCCATTCACTTTTTACTTACTCTCTTACATATACCTTCCATTCTTATCTTACTTGCTCTACCTCTTACAAATACCTTTCCATTCTTATCTTAATTTTTTTTCACCTCTTCGTTATGCCTTCCTTCCTTCTTTCCTATCTTATCCTATATTCTCTACCTATTCCATATACCTTTCCTTCTTCCCTTTCTTTCTCTACCTCTTCCATATACCTTCCCCTCTTACCTTACTTTCTTTACCTCTTCCTTATGCCTTCCCTTCTCACCTGTCTTTCTCTACCTCTTCCATATGCCTTCGCTTCTTACTTTAATTTCTCCATTTCTTCCGTATGCCTTCTTTCCTTCCTTCCTTTCTTACCTTTCTTCGTCTACCTCTTCCTTATACTTTCTCTGTTGACCTTACTCTCTCTACTTCTTTTTTATACATTCCCTTCTTGCCCTATATTCCTCCTGTTATTGGACAAATGTGGAAACATTTCTTTTACCTTGGTTCCCAGGTTGGCCATGCCTTAAATAGGTACCAGGTAAAATCCTTGGAAGTAAAGGTGGTCAGCCTGATCTTGACTACATCACTCATCAAGAGTCGGTTGGTCTATCAAAAATAAGTCTTGGATCTTATGCCCAATGCGTCATTGGGGTAAAAAAAGCCCCGTAACTTTTTCACTTTTAAAAAGGGAGATGCTGCAGCAAAGGTAATCCATTGGGAATACTGGGATGTATTCTGTAACTAAAACTGGAATAATAGGGATCTAATAAATAATTTTGTGGCAAAGGTCATCCAGTTAATAGGAAATCTTCTTGTTTCTAAAGTCCATATCCTGTGGCATTGGTAGTCGTGACTATCTACAACATTCTGTTGTAACTGATTCAGAAAGCATGCTTCGTGCAGAATGGCCTGCTGTGCTGCGGAGGACACGGGCGAGGAGTATTGTCTGGATTTTTTCACCGGGGTATGCCAGTGTGTTGGGAAATGAACAGGCGGACAGACAGGCTGGCTCTGCACAACTTGGTGGAATACTGATACATGATAAGGCAGACTTGGTTAGTGCCTTGTGGGAGAGCGTGTACAGTTCGGAGGAGCAGATAGATCACTACAGTCTGGTGAGATTGATGCAGCGGGAAGTGACGAGAGGTTCTGGCAGATGATCGAGAGAGGAAAGGCAAGACGGATGTTTAATCAGAATGCTACTGGCACCATTAGTATCGGAACTCTTCGCTGGCTGCTGAAGATGTGGATGGATTCAAATAAAATCTACAACATTCTGACTCGTGCACTTTCAGTCAACTCTGACACAGATGATCTTCCCTGCCATGATGTCAGATCATCCAGAATCTGTTTTCTTCGTCTTTCTCTCCCTCCCTTCCCCTCCAACTTTTCCACTGTCACGATGTACTCCAGTTTCCGCCTTTTCATCACATGACCAAAGAATGTAGATTGTCTCTTTCTGATGTGGGTAGTCAGTTCTCTTCGTGAGTCAGTTTCTTTCAAAGACGTCTTCATTACTCTTTTTATCTGTTCAAGGTATTCTCACCATTCGTCTTTAAAACCTACCTGTAATAGGAAATACTGAAACAGATGTAATCTTTTTTTGGGGAGAAGTAACACATTCTAAACTAAATGTAAACTAAATGTAAACTAAATGTAAACTAAATGTAAACTAAATGTAAACTAAATGTAAACTAAATGTAAACTAAATGGTTAATGTGACAGTAAATATAACCCAACAAGGGTAGAGAAGGGCTATAAATTCAGATATACTAGGTAGTGGTTTTGTGAGATGAGGTGACCACCTTCTTTTATCATCGGTTTTCCCATCCACAGACATCAACACATTTATTTTGTATATATATCTATATAAAATATATATATATATGTATACATATATATATATATAAAATTGCTTAGATAATTGGAAAATAATTTATCTGCATGTTTTCCCTTTTGACAAGTGGGTTATCTCAGTGTTTTCACTTCAGATGTGTTATCTCTATATTTTTCTTTAAAAAAAGTGTCTGTATCTGTATGTTTTCCCTTTAATAAGTGGGTTATATGTTGTTTTTTCCCTTGTATAAGTGTGTTATCTGTATGTTTTCCCTTCAATAAGTGTGTTATCTGTATGTTTTCCCTTCAATAAGTGTGTTATCTGTATGTTTTCCCTTCAATAAGTGTGTTATCTGTATGTTTTCCCTTCAATAAGTGTGTTATCTGTATGTTTTCCCTTCAATAAGTGTGTTATCTGTATGTTTTCCCTTGAGACAAGTGTATTATCTGTGTGCTTTCTTTTCAGACAAGTGTTTTATCGGTATTTTTTCCCTTTAAACAAGTGTGTTATCTGTATGTTTTCCCTTTATACAAGTGTGTAATCTGTATTTTTTCCATTCGGACAAGTTTAGACATGTGTGTTTTCTCAATATTTTCCTTTCAGAACAATGTGTTTTCTGTATGTTTTCCTTTCAATAAATGGGGTTATCTGCATTTTTTCCCTTTAGACAAGTGGGTAATCTGTATGCTTTCCTTTCAGACAAGTGTGTTATCTGTATGCTTTCCTTTCAGACAAGTGTGTTATCTGTATGCTTTCCATTCAGACAAGAGTCTTATCTGTATGCTTTCCTTTCCGACAAGTGTCTTATCTGTATGCTTTCCCTTCAGACAAGTGTCTTATCTGTATGCTTTCCCTTCAGACAAGTGTGTTATCTGTATGTTTTCCCTTCAGACAAGTGTGTTATCTGTATGCTTTCCTTTCCGACAAGTGTCTTATCTGTATGCTTTTCCTTCAGACAATTGTGTTATCTGAATGCTTTCCCTTCAGACAAGTGTGTTATCTGTATGCTTTCCCTTCAGACAAGTGTGTTATCTGTATGCTTTCCCTTCAGACTAGTGTGTTATCTGTATGCTTTCCCTTCAGACAAGTGTGTTATCTGTATGCTTTCCCTTCAGACAAGTGTGTTATCCATATGTTCTCCCTTCAGACAAGTGTGTTATCCATATGTTCTCCCTTCAGACAAGTGTGTTATCTGTATGCTTTCCCTTCAGACAAGTGTGTTATCCATATGTTCTCCCTTCAGACAAGTGTGTTATCCATATGTTCTCCTCTCAGACAAGTGTGTTATCCATTTGTTCTCCCTTCAGACAAGTGTGTTATCTGTATGCTTTCCCTTCAGACAAGTGTGTTATCTGTATGCTTTCCCTTCAGACAAGTGTGTTATCCATATGTTCTCCCTTCAGACACGTGTGTTATCCATTTGTTCTCCCTTCAGGCAAGTGTGTTATCTGTATTATGCTTTCCAATAAGGCTATTTCGTCTTGTTTTTTTCTTTTTATCAGTTTGTTATGTGTCTGTTTTCTCTCCAGGCCAACAAGAAGAAGAAAAAGGCTGACTTTATTCCCTACAGAGATTCGGTTCTGACCTGGCTTCTCAGAGAGAACCTGGGTAAGTAAACAAATTGAGTGTTCTTGTTTAGTCAACAGATAATATCTTCTTCTTCTTTGTGTTTAGCGGCTATTAACTCCGGCAAGAGGTTCTTGTTGTTCGTTGACTTCTGCACTCTGGTCTTGTACCAGAACTTGCGTTTTGCGTGCACAGCAGTTTGACATATCTGGCTTATTTGTATAGAAACTGTTGTAAGGGACCATTTTCTATGCCTAGACCTGTATTTTATAGACCAGTCAGCACTCTAATGTCAAACCAGTACTATTGTATGGGGCGGAAACATGGAGAACAACTAAGGCAATTACTAATAAATTACAGACATTCATTAACTGGTGCCTGCGCAGAATAGAGGGAATAAAATGGTATGATAAAATAACTAATGTAGAACTTTGGGAGAGAACTAAACAGGCTCCAGTGGACAAAGAGGTGAGGAAAAGACGCTGGCATTAGATAGGACACACACTGAGAAAACAGAACGGCATAACTAGAATGTCTTTGCATTGGAACCCACAGGGGCATAGGAATAAAGGAAGGCCAAAAAACACATGGAGAAGAGAGCTGGAGAATGAAGTTAGAAAGATGGGGAGAGCTCCATGCAATGGCGAAGGATAGAACGACTTGGCGTGAGTTGGTTAAGGGCCTATGCTCCATTGGGGGATAGAAAGGCAGAAGAAAAAGAAGTCAGCACTCGGTGGGTGATGTGGACAACATCGCGCTGGCCTCCTTTACTTCCGAGGACATTTTCTGGTACCCATTTAAAACTGTGTCTAGTGTTTTCGTTGATTTCCAGCTCTCGCATCCATAGGTTAGTACTGGAATCACACATTTGCCCTCATTTGGACACCACAGGGGAAAAGATCTCGTGGAAGACCAAGGGAAACTCTACGTAGAACTATCATCAGGGAAGGCTCGCTACAACAGATTGCAACAGACCGCCATGCATGGAGAGTCATGACCTCTGCCCTATTTGCTGCACTCAACACAAGAGGAAAGACTAACTAACTAACTAACTAATTTAAAACTGGGTCAGCCTGGGGAGCCAATGTCAGTTTTGAAAAGAAGTCCCGCTTTGTTTGAATGAGTGAGTGGCGTTAGTGTAACGGCTAGACCATTACTTGCGGATCGAAAGATTGGGGTTTGGATCCTGACAGACAGGACTTTAAAAAAAAAGGGCTTAGGGTCCCAGGTTGACTTTGAGTGGGTACCAGGTGCTGGGAAGCAAAGGTGACTGGCATGATGCCGATTGGTCTATAAAATATATGTCTAGCCCTATATGCCCAATACATCTGAAGGCGTGGAAAAGAGTGCGCATTCTTTACTTTTGAATTTGAACCCACGACCGTCAGACCCTCAGGTAAGCGGTTTCTCACGTGCTAACTGGTATTCTTCCTGTGCAGGTGGTAACTCCAAGACGGCCATGGTTGCAGCGTTGAGCCCAGCGGACATCAACTATGATGAGACCTTGAGTACACTTCGGTAAGTCCACCAAATGTTTCTTCTTCACATGTGCTACAAATATATATGTGTATATATCATCATCATTATCATCATGTAGCAGGTCCTTTGCAGAACGTGGCTCTCATCACGGTCTGCCTGAAAGAAACTCGGTCTCTCGCCAGCTCTCCTGCCTCATGTACTTTCACACTCAAGGAGTCACTTATATCCTGTGCCCATCTTCATGTTGGTCGGCCCTTGCCCCTTCTTCCTGGTACCATGCCTTCTGCTGTAATTTTTCCCAATCCGTCGTGGCACTTGATATGTCCAAAATTATATATGCAGATGACACAGTCCTCCTTTCAAATGGCGTAAATGGAATAGAATATATATATATATATATATTTAAAAAGGGGGCTTTAGACCATATAAGTTTGAGAACCTATGGTCCATTTGTTAATGTCATAAGGATTTTCTGATCAATAATATCCCCCTCCTCCTAAGCATGTCCTAAGAGTCACATCTAATTAGTGAAATGTTCCCACTTTCACCCCCCCCCCCCCACCCTCCACCCTCATAAACTAGCATGTCCTAAGAGTAAGCTAACTAGTGGCTATTTTTTAGGTTGGAGTGCCTCGGCTTCACAGGCGAGGAAATGACAGTCTGCATACAGTAAGCTAGATCTGTCAAATGGATGTGCACACAAAAGTCAGATTCTGGAACAAGACTAAAGTCCAGAAGTGGATGAAAAACCAGAACTTTTTGCCGGAGTTTACCGCTGATGAACACGGCGAAGAAGACAAGATCTGTTATGATTATTTTTGGTATATTATAATTTGATCTATCTATATGATAATTTGTTTGCCTATATTCTAACTGACGTCTCAGTATGATAATGAGTTTGTGATGTACACTCTGCATTATTTCTCAGAATCAACGAATAAAACAAAGGCTTATCTCCCCTGACAGGAAGTCATTTTTTTGCCTGCTCGTTAATCAGTAACAGTGATGAAATCAATCAGCCAGGCTCATATTTATCCCAGCCGTCACATGGATAGCTTACTCCTCGGGTTTTGAAAATAACGAAGCTAGTTTTACAATTGATGACTTTCGTGCTGTTATATAGTCTGACAGTAATCCAATTCTAGAACATGTCACACATCATCAACGTAAACCTCACATCATCATAATCATCATCATCATAAACATCACACATTGTCATCACAAATCTCACACATCATCATCGTCATGAATCTCACACATCATCACCATCATCATAAACCTCACAATCATCATAAACCTCACAATCATCATCATAATCCCCACACATCATCACTCTCATCATGAACCTCACAATCATCAAAAACCTCACAATCATAAACCTCAAAATTGTCATCATAAACCCCACACATCATCACCCTCATCATAAACCTCACAATCATCATAAACCCCACACATCATTACCATCATCATAAACCTCACAATCATGATCCTCACAGTCATCATAAACCTCACAATCATAAACCTCGCAATCATCAGAAACCTCACACATCAACACCATCATCATACACCTCACACATCATCATAAACGCACAATCATCATAAACCTCACACATCATCACCATCATCATAAACCTCACACATCATCATAAACATCATAATCATAAACCTCACCATCATCATAAACCCCTCAGTCATCGTCATAAACCCGTCAGTCATCATCATAAACCCCTCAGTCATCATCATGAAGCCCTCAGTCATCATCATAAACCTCTCAGTCATCATCATAAACCTCACAGTCATCATCATAAACCCCTCAGTCATCATTATAAACCCCTCAGTCATCATCATAAACCTCACAGTCATCATCATAAACCCCTCAGTCATCATCGTAAACCCCTCAGTCATCATCATAAACCCCTCAGTAATCATCATAAACCCCTCAGTCATCATCATAAACCTCACAGTCATCATCATAAACCCCTCAGTCATCATCATAAACCCCTCAGTCATCATCATAAACCCCTCAGTCATCATCATAAACCCCTAAGTCATCATCATAAACCCCTCAGTCATCATCATAAACCCCTCAGTCATGATCATAAACCCCTCAGTCATCATCATAAACCCCTCAACATTGTAAATCTCTCAGTCATCATAAACCCCTCATCATCATAAACCCCTCAGTCATCATCATAAACCTTACAGTAATCATCATAAACATCACAGTTATCATCATAAACCTCACAGTTATCATAAACCCCTCAGTCATCATCATAAACCTCACAGTCATCATCATAAACCCCTCAGTCATCATCGTAAACCTCACCTCATCATCATAAACCCCTCAGTCATCATCATAAACCCCTCAGTCATCATCATAAACCCCTCAGTCATGATCATAAACCCCTCAGTCATCATCATAAACCCCTCATCATCATAAACCCCTCAGTCATCATCATAAACCTTACAGTAATCATCATAAACCTCACAGTCATCATAAACCCCTCAGTCATCATCATAAACCCCTCATCATCATGAAGCCCTCAGTCATCATCATAAACCCCTCAGTCATCATCATAAACCTTACAGTAATCATCATAAACCTCACAGTCATCATAAACCTCAAAGTCATCATAAACCTCACAGTCATCATAAACCTCACAGTCATCATAAACCTCACAGTCATCATAAACCTCACAGTCATCATAAACCTCACAGTCATCATAAACCTCACAGTCATCATAAACCTCACAGTCATCAGCATAAACCTCACAGTCATCATCATAAGCCCATCAGTCATCATCATAAACCTCACCTCATCATCATAAACCTCACAGTCATCATCATAAACTTCACCTCATCATCATAAACCTCACAGTCATCATCATAAACCTCACAGTCATCATCATAAGCCCATCAGTCATCATCATAAACCTCACCTCATCATCATAAACCTCACCTCATCATCATAAACCTCACAGTCATCATCATAAACCTCACAGTCATCATCATAAACCTCACAGTCATCAGCATAAACCTCACAGTCATCAGCATAAACCTCACAGTCATCATCATAAACCTCACAGTCATCATCATAAGCCCATCAGTCATCATCATAAACCTCACCTCATCATCATAAACCTCACCTCATCATCATAAACCTCACAGTCATCATCATAAACCTCACAGTCATCATCATAAACCTCACAGTCATCAGCATAAACCTCACAGTCATCAGCATAAACCTCACAGTCATCATCATAAACCTCACAGTCATCATCATAAACATCACAGTCATCAGCATAAACCCCTCAGTCATCATCATAAACATCACAGTCATCAGCATAAACCCCTCAGTCATCATCATAAACCTCACCTCATCATCATAAACCCATCAGTCATCATCATAAACCTCACAGTCATCATCATAAACCCCTCAGTCATCATCATAAACCTGACAGTCATCATCGTAAACCCCTCAGTCATCATCATATCCCATCAAAAACTTGGTGACAACTGGCAAGATTGATGGAGAAAGAGCACGGGGAAGGTAGATAAATACCTGGATGGCCCGGTCAGATGAATGGGCCAAGACAAAAACCATTGAACTGATCCTTGGTTCTGGTGATCATGTTGAGTTGAGTCAAGAATTGACATCACAGCACTCGGGGCATTCCATGCGTGCTTCGTCTTCATCTTCAGCAGCCAGCCCAGAGTTCCAATACTAATGGTACCGGTGAAAATCTGGTTATATGTCTGTCTTGCCTTTCCTCTGAGTGTAGTGAGCCGGCCAGAGCCTCTGGTTACACCCAGAGGCTGGCGATCTTTGGTGATCGTGTGAGATAGGGGAACATGACAGCCTACGGTGACCGGCACACCATATGATTACCCCTCACTGCCCTTCTCCTCTCCCTCTGTGTGTGTCTCTCTCTCCACTGTACCCTCCACCAAACACACACACACGCACACGCCACACACTCACCACACCACACACACGCACACGCCACACACTCACCACACCACACACACGCACACGCCACACACTCACCACACCACACACACGCACATGCCACACACACACACTTACTTCCTTGCTGGCCATTAATACTAGGATCTTTGAATGCAGCGTTAGTGGATATTGATCTGTCTGGAAAGATATAGAGTTCCAACACCACACAATTGATTTATAAAAACTCTGGTAGTGTCTGGAGAGTGGCAGTTTCATTCAGTATCATTGAGTTCTGACATGGCAGCCTGTAATTGTCTCCTGTGCTTTGTCAACAACCATGGCAATCAATGAGAATCTTGCCAGTCGGCATCTTGTGGCATGTAGAGTGACACAGGTCATCACATTCTTGCCCACTTGTTTATGGGTTTTGTGGTCTGTCTGATTGCCTGCTGTCTGTCTGTCTGTCTGTCTGTCTGTCTGTCTGTCTGTCTGTCTGTCTGTCCGTATGTCCGTCTGTCTGACTGCCTGCTGTCCGTCTGTCCACTTTGCTTTTTCTTTTTATAACTCTGATTACTCTGCAGTGCCGTTATGCTACTCTTTTAGATTTACAACTGTCAAGGGTTTTTTTTAATGTGCGAAACAATACACATGAGATTCCAATGCCTTCACCAGGGCCTTGAACCGGGGACTCTTAGCACTTGAGGCGGATGCCTTGCCTTGAAACCACTCAGAAACAGTTTAATGAGTGTATGATTGAAAAGGCTAGAGAGGCAGAAGAAAACAGAAATGAAATGGGGAAGACTGGAACATGGATTTCCTGGAAGCCAAGCGATAACGAGACGACAGAAGTATTGATTGTTATGTGAAGTTGTTTACCCCAGCAATGGCTTGGAAGGCCAGTGACGACTATTGATTGAATTCTTTCAGTTTTTATTTTCCCAGTGACGACTATTGATTGAATTCTTTCAGTTTTCACATGTAAGCCTAGCATGGACCTTCACTAGGGCAGAACTATCCTGGCTCAGAGCTCCTCTAGCATGGACCTTCTCTAGGGCAGAACTATCCTGGCCCAGAACTCCTCTAGCACAGA